AAAACATTGTAGTTCTGTGTGTGTGTGTGTGTGTGTGTGTGTGTGTGAGAGAGAGAGAGAGAGAGAGAGAGAGCGTTCAGGCTGGCCTCAAACTCATGGTGATGCTCCTGCCTCAGCCTCCTGAGTGCTAGGATAACAAGTGTGCACCACCATATCCAGTTTAAATTTTCTAGTTTTTAAATGTTAAAGGTCCTAATTACAACTTTAACAAAATACTGTTGTAAGTTTGAGAACACCTTGGGCTACAAAGTGAGCGCAAAGCCAGCCTGAACTGCATAGTAAAACCCTGTCTCCAAACCACAAAAAAGAAAAATGAAAATACTGTTTTAGATACTTGCAGCTGGTGGCCAGCCAGGTACATTAGTAAGGCCCAGCTGGTATGGTTTCTGCTGGTATATTGTTTTATTTTTTATTTTTTGGTAATGGGGATCAAACTCAGGGCCTTGTGCTTGTCAGTCAGGCATTTATGCCACTAAACTATCTCCACAGCCCTGGATGATGAGGGTCCGAGCTGTGGTTTGAAGGTGCTGGTAGAGGTAGGAGAGGAGGCCCACGCTGCGTGGATGTCAATCTTGGGTACCAAAGCAGGAGTTGCACTCAGAGGCCTCCTGGCTTGAGTTGAGTGATCCAGTTCTCCCAGACTCTCCATGGGTGGGGGAGGAGAAGATTCCTCACAAGAGGACAATTGCTTTTAGAAGGAGAGATGAATAGTTATTCTTACCTGACTGTGTTATTTTTTTGTTTGTTTGTTTCATTTAAGTGAAAAAAAAGCGGCAGTGTAGACAAATTAAAAGCAGAGAGGAGATGAAAGCTAATTGAGGAACAGGTGGTTTCTCTCTCCTGTACTGAATACAGTGTTTGATTTCTCTGAGCATAGACTTTCAAATTTAGTATTAATGATGAAGCTTTAAAAATTTGGCCCATTTCAAAAATGTTAATACATTAAAAGTGCTTTAAAAAAAATGAAACAAAATACCGTTTTAGCTGGACAAGGTGGCACATGCCTAGAATCCTGCACTCTGAAGTTCGAGTCCAGCCTGGGTAGTTTAGAAACTTAATGACTCAAAAATAAATGTTTAAAGTGGATGTGATGGTACCTGCCTATGATGCCAGCACTTGGGGCTGAGACAGGAGGATCACCATGAACTCTAGGCTGACCTGGGCTTCATAGGGAGTCCCTTTAATCCTCAGTACCAAAACAACAACAAAAAACTGTTTTTGCACCTAGTATGATAACGCATGCCTACTCTTAGTACTTAGGTTGCAGAGACAAGGCTGATCACTAATTTGAGGACAGCCTGGACTGTGTAGGGACAGCCTATCTCAAAACAATAATACCAATAATAATAATAATAATAATCATAATCCCCCAAAATAACTATTACCACCTTTTTATGTAAAACTTGGATAAAAGTAGGTACACATTAGTGGTAGAGCACTTACTCTGTGTACACAAGATCCTGGGTTTCATCTATAGCTCAGTAAAAATCTGAAGGAAAAAAAAGCAAGAAAATATTGTGTCAAATAAAAGAAACAGCCAGGTATAGTGATGTGCATCTGTAATCCTAGCTCTTGGGAGGCTGAGGCAGAAGGGTCACTATGAGTTCAAGGTCAGCCTGGACTACATAGTGAGTTCAGGTCAGTCTGAACTATACAATTAGATACTTTCTCAAAACACCAAAAAAAAAAAAAAAAAAAAAAAAAAAAAAAAAAAAAGAAAAAGAAAGAAAGAAAAAGAAAAGAAACATCTGTGTTCCAAATCAATTTGTGACCTTTGCCCTGGGTCAAGCCATTTGTTTTCCAGTCCAGGGGACCAAAGTTCTACCTTCATGACACATTGCATATGCCCCCCCCAAGATCTTTCTTGGGCTGTGAACCCCAAATGCACCACTAAGTTTATATTTGATGACCTGTCAATTAAGAGATTTTAGAAGTTTCCTTATGAAAATCATTATGACTCAATATTTAGTTCAGTTAAATATTTACTTAGTAGAGACTGGGTGTGGTGGTGCACGCCTGTAATCTCAGCACTGAGGAGGCTGAAAACAAGAGGATCACTATGAGTCCTAGCTGTATAGTGAGACCCTGTACCAAATATATATATATTCTAGAGAAAACAGCAAGACTTGACCTGCTCCTTTCAGCAGCCTCTTACTGGAATCAGACCTACAGTGACAACTTAGTCTTGTTATATTTTCTCAGGCTGGTTTAAATTCATATTTCTGTTTCTTCATAAAAATTTAAAAATCTCATACCTCCCTTTAATATTGTTTGAAATTTCAAAACTTCTTTATTTACTGATTGTCTTTTTGAGACAGGGTCTTGCTATGTAGTTCAAGTTGGCTTTGAGCTCACTTTGTGGCCCAATTTGGCCTTGAATTCACGGGGTTCCTCCTGCCTCACCCTCTCAGGTGCTGGGATTAAAGGCATGTGCCACCATGCCCAGCACCAAACTTTTAAAAAAAAAATTGTTCCATACATAAAGTTATCAAACATGCTTTTTATTACTATCTTTTTAAAGCATTGCTGGGGATGGGACCTAAAGCCCCACATGCAGAATACTCACATGAGTGACCCTGGCCTTTTATTTTTCTCATTGGTTTGGCTTGAGTTGGGGTCTTACTGTGTTGCTCAGGCTGGCCTCAAACTAGGTTTGAATGATCTTCCTTTTTTTTTTTTTTTTAATGTATTTGGTTGTTAAAGGGTCTCACTACACAGTTCCGACTCATAATGATCCACCTGTTTTCAGCTTCCCCAGAGGTGGGATTACAGGCATACACTACTATGCCCCAGATTCTGTGGCTCAGCCTGCCCTGGGGGCAGGGCTGGCATGACATGTGGTGCCAGGGATTGCTTGCCTAAGCAGGTCCTTTATTCTGCTGAGCTATCTTGCCAGGCCCTGATCTTCCTTTCTAAACCTCCTGAGTAGCTGGGACTACAGATGTCCACCAACATTGGGCTTAAATATACGTTTTTTTGGACTA